CCTGAATAGAAGTTAACAGTAGTGATATAACAACACACAATTTTAAGAGTTTTGATTTAAAATCAAATAAAAGCTCACATTTTTTCAAAAGAAAATGCCCTATTTGGACATAGCTTAATTAGTATTTGTCTCAATCAAGCAAATTCTATTCTTCAGTACTGAATGTGTATATGGGAAACTTCAATTTCTATTTAAAAGTTTAATTATTTTTACAAACTCTTCTTTATATTTGTGCACTTGAATCTAATCACTTGCATAGTTTTAGTTGAAAGAATTCCACATTAAAGATTAAAAATATTGAAGAAAGAAATAAGTTATGGAAATTATCTTCAGTTTGCAGCTTGCTTTACAAAGATTTAGAAGCCTCTTTGTATAGCTCAATCTTTCAAAAGCATGGCAACACCTTTTCAAGTACGGTCACATCTTAATATTTTAAATGTAGTGATTGGTAGATGGAATCAGTGGGGGTCACTGGTTCATATTTCAGAATTCTAAGAAATCCTTAATATTAATGAATCAACACCTGAAGAAGTACTTTCATTTGATCAATGCAGAAAATGTTGCTGTTCAAATACCTAAGTAGTTAACACTTATCAGAGTAGATTAAAAGCTTGAATATTTGTTTGAAACAACACACCTAGGGGTAGAAAAAGCCACTAGTGCTGAACTAATTCAGTTCTTACTCATTTACCTGTTGTCTCAAAGGCATTTTACATCATAATCCCAAACCAGGCACACCCCAGGGCTCCATTCATTAAAAAAGGCAAATACCATTTAAGGCATTAGTCTGTAGTCCTCCCTCTAGTAGTTCTTACTTGATAGATGAAATGCAAGGATTCCATGTAACAATGAAAGTGATTGCAAGTTGCTCTACAGAGATTTCTTCTCTAGACTATGTGTCTTCCTAGACTTATTTGGAGAAAGCTGTGAAAGCAATCTTGTCCCTTATTTAAGGCCATAAAAAATTGTCCCTAATTATCTATTTAAGTTTGTTTTCTGGAAAATAAATACTATTTATTCTATTAAGTTTCTATTTTTTTTTGCTTTAATATATTTCACATTTACTTCGTTTTTATTTAGTTAAACTTTTTCTGGCACAGTTTACTAAAGACTTTTAACAAATTCTATATAGTAACAGGCACAAGTATTATAATCATATCTTGCTATGATTAAATGTTGCCACTTATTCATCAATATTTAAAAAATCAGGATCTGCAGATCTGTACATATTCTCTCTCTCTCTCTCTCTCTCTCTCTCTCTCTCTCTCTCTCTCTCTCTCTCTCTCTCTCTCTCTCTCTTTCTCTCTCACACACTCACACACACACGCACAAACACAATATTTGGCCATACATACATTCCCTTGCATATAATTTTTTTGCTGTGAAAATCATGGTTTTAAAATTAGTCTTTTGATTTAATTTTTAATACAAAAAGTATACAGGAGCTGTAAGATTGTCCTCCAAATTACTGTGCATTTCCTTTTTTCAGTTGTTAAAGAATAGACTTTAAAAAATTTTTCTTTTTGTTTTTACCATAGCCTTATGTTGTGCTGGCATCATTACTTTCATTTACACATTAGGAATCCAGCCTACAGGATAGACAAATAGTTTAAGAAAGATTACATGGTCTTTCCTGCTGCCTCATTTAAATTAAGAAACTTAATAGTTCTATGATTGAGTGTTTGTGTGGAGACATGAATAGTGCAATGCACACAGAAAATCATTGTGAACAATAAAAGAGAACATTAAAGGTTAGAATCAAAATTCTATAGCAGCATGTTGCAGAAAGACCTGGAAAGGTTTTCATAGCTATATGTCTTAATTAATAAGATTTCAGGCAATAGAATTTTGTATAAGGTGACAGAATTACTGAGTGCAAAGGACCAAGAAAATATCCAAAGGATAGCAAGTATTTTGAAAAGGGTAAAGTTCTTGGAGGGGTTGTGGTTTGGAGAGAGACAACATGAAATAAGGCTGAAAATAGACAGGGTTTAGCTAGATTACTGAGGACTTTATATACCAGCATATGGTGTTTGAACTATAGGCAAAGGCAACTACCAGAACTGGAATTCAGGAAGTAGGCAATGGATTTCAATTCATGAATGTGAGTTCCAACTAGGGTACTTACCAGCTGTTTGTTGGGCAAGCTGTGTAATCACTCTATAGCTCAATTTCTCCTACTTCAAAATAAAATAAAACACACACACACATGCCCCACCCCATGTCCACCCCCCCAGAGCCATTATTGAGTTGTTTTAAGGATTAGATTAAACGTGCTAATACATGAAGAATGTTTAGATTCCTTCTGGGAATATACTGGGGCTTAACATTAAAATTCTTATTGTTATTATTAATAGCTCTCATTATCTGAGCTGAGTCTGGGGCATTTAATTCTGGACAGATTAAAATGAAATGGGAGAGAATGGCAGCAGCAGATAGGTTAGAAGGCAAATGCAAAAAAGGCAATGTAAAATGAAAAGTAGGATTAAGATAAGAAATAGTTTCAAGTTCTAGAGCCAACATTTACCTGAAGACTTAAGAGCACTGGGCCAGTTACTTAACATTTTGAATCAAAGTCTACATTTTTTTCACTATAAAATGGGATGATAAAAATGTGATGGATTTAAGGAGATTGAGTATTAAGGAATAAGCTGTGTTTCTCAGTTTAGAAAGGGTGAAATGTAAGTTTTTTTAACATAAAAGTAAATTTTTTTTCCCTCTAGTCACTGACATAAATCTACATGCCAGAGATTTTAGTAATTTTAGATGTTAGAAAATCTAGTCTTTACCTCTTTTTCCATTCTAGAAAGTTGGAGTGTATATGTTTGTGTTTATGAGTAGGGGCAGTATGGTTGGTCCTGAGATATTGTACCTCCATTGCCAAACTCCACAACTCTGGTCTTAGAGATTGGAAGGGTCTGACCACCTGCTGACGATGGGGAGTGTCATGATATTACTTGGTTATTATTATTGTTAGTAGTTTCAGTTTGTGAGATAGCATCCACCTAGATGGTAGACATTGTTTACTTGGTCTTCACTGGATATCATTTTCATCTTGGTTCCTTCAATTCTTCAAAGAGGGGCAACCATGTCTCCATTCAACCCATTCTCTTCATGTACATAACTCCAATTGAGTTGGGAAGTGCTACAACTTCTTTTGACTTCTCTGACTTTTCTGTGCTTATAGAATAGCTAAAGTCTTTGTGTGTTTCTCCACCATTTTATTCTTAGGCACACTATACAATAATCTTTTTCTTCCCTGCTGTTGAGGAATACTTCAGTAAACATGCAGCCTTCAGGAAACTCTAAACAAAAGCAGGTGCTAGTCTCAAAGTTCATATTTGGTCCCAAATCAAGGGATATATGTCAAACTCTCATAACAACAAATTGCTCAGCATACTCTGCTCTTCTTATGTACAAGAGAGACATGAAAATTCTACACCCTGATCCCAGATTGTTAGTGTGACTGTAGAATTTTCATGTCTCTCTTGTACATAAGAAAAGAGCAGAGTGGGACCAAAGATGTCATTTAGAGTTCTAGGAAAGTTTGCAGGACTAATTTTTAGACAAACCCATCTAAAGTCTCTATACCTTACTGTAACATAATTCCAATTAGCCTTGCATAAGCAACTATAAAAAATGATTTCAGAGAATACTTTCCCTTTCTTATTTGAGAGAAATATGCTCCTGTTTTTACTGTTACAATACAATTGCGAGCCTGCTACTTTTCACTTAAACTTTGAGATTCTTCGCTCCACAGACCTCTCACTTGTGTGAAACAATATCAGATGGTTCACTCTGAAGGGGGAAATCAGTAAAACCAGAATATGTGGAATATGTCTTCACACAAAATAGTCACATCAGGGCAACCCGTGAAAATATGTGAATGGGAAAACATTCAGTTTGTGTTCTAATATGGGCTGAAAATTTTGTAGTTATAATAAATTAACTCAAATTGTTTTGGCTGAGATTTAGCCAATGGCTTTTCTTTTTAAAATATTGCTAGATTCATTGTGAGAAATATAAATAGTTTTCTGTGATGATTAGGAAATACAGTTTCTGAATGCACTTGATTTCACCCACACCATTAAAAAATAAAGCTTCATGAAAACTCCCTGCTTTGCATTTCAAGTCTTTCTCCATTTAGCAGCTCTCTCGCAACCATAAAAAACTCAAGGAAAAAGAGTGAGAGAGAAAAAGAAATTCAAAACGATGGTTAGCTTATGGTCAAAACATATGGAACAAAGTTGTCCAAAATATTGTCACAACTCCTCCCCTCACAATTCATTCCGCTCTAGAGTCTTGTCAGACCTCCCCGATTCATTGACAGACTATTATATTGAGAACGGCTGTTGAAAACTTTCAGCACTTAGAAATGTTCTTGAGACATATAAAAATGTCTTTATTTAGAATGGAACATATAATATCTGACAAATTTGTAGGTTTGAAACCACTTCCAATAAGAATTAAAAGGCCCTCTTCCTTGCTGAAATAGGACTATCAATATATGACTTGTCTGTTCATGAGAAATAGTGGGTTCTTGTCTCTGACGTTGCAATTTAGTTTAAAATCACTTTATGATGACAGGGTACATAAAGATGATAAAACTATAAAGATGACAGTCTAATCTTCAAAGATGACCGATCATCGATAAAAGATTAAATAACGTAAACATCTGAAATGCCAGATTATCAGCTGGTTGGCACATTCTCAGTATTGAAGTATGTTGAGATATTACTGATAAGTGAAAAATGTTTTTATCACTGTGTTATGTAGAAATCTATCCTCTTCCAGAAAGGGCAAATGAATTGTAATACCTTTGAATTTATAAGATATATATCTTTTCTCCATCAAAATATATGTAAAATGTTAATAAATAATATACTGTAAAGTGTTCAAAATTATTTTGTTTTTTTAGATTAACATCTAATTGCTGGAATTTTAAGCACACTTTAGTCATCACTTTTTTGAATTATAAAAACAATTTCATATATACGTACAAGAATGATTAGACATGCTGGTCCTATAAAACTCCAAATAAAGTTGTTTTCGGTGCTAAGCCAACATCTGAAAAATAAATAATAGATAAAAATCTATAAATATGTTTGTAGGTAGTGTAACAAAGCAAAATCACAAAGATATGCGAAGCATATTCAGAATTGCATTTCAAATGCTCATGAAATCATCTTAACTTACACTTTGGTGGTGCCATAATATCTGTATCCTAATGCTGCTGAAAATCCAACTACCACGGCAGGGCTGAGATAGCCAAAGATATAAAAATTCTTGTGCAAAAATCCCTTGTTGTAGATGACTCCCACCACAATGAGATAAAGATGTATACCTTCAATGCACATCCATGCAAAGGCAGCTAAAAAGAAGTAATGTAGCAGCCCAGCAATGATTGAACAGAAGAGCTAAAAAGCAAAGAAAGAAACTATAGGCAATGTTTGTTTTGAAATTATCATAGCATAAAATCTCAACTTTCTCTGTAAATTATGAAGCTTTTTGTAATAAGTGATCACATTCAAATATACATCATGTCAATTTTTTTAGATGTACTACTTCTCGCTGATTTAAATGAATTGTGCTTCATCAGAGTGAGGCATTAACCAATCCTGTGATAGAACTAAGTTACTGTTCTTGCACCGAGATTTATCATTTTTATACATTTATTTTATGTGATAAATTGTGGGTTATTCACATGTAAACCATGGTATCTCGCTGAATACGTTATGAGTTGAGTTGATTTCTGTTTTGGAGGTGCCTCTCCTTTATTTTATTCATGCTCAATGAATGAAAATTATTGATTATAGTGTGCTAAACAAAATAAAATGAATATCTTGATTAGGTGACAAAATAAAATTTGCAGAACAGACAAATGATATATTTTACCAAAATATCCATTATAGAATCACTTTTAGTTGTAATATTATCACATAAATATGAGATGGCTTTCAGTTAAACATTACTTAACAGTATTTACTTCACATGTAGAACTGGAGTTAAGCTTATAAGAAATAACAAGAAAAGAAGTAGTTACATGCACCTGTACAATAGAATTAATGATATGTATTACCAGAGGGATAACATAATACACACTCACTTATCCCTCTTATTAAAACAGAAAATAATTCAAGATTAATAAGATTAAATACTAAAGTATGTTGGAAGGTACTACATAAGGTTGGGGAACACAGAGATCACTGGCAATTAAAATCTGGGAACCATGTTACTGAGGAAGTGAGATTTGAGATATGGCTTGAAAATGGGGCTTTAATAAATGGACGAGAATTGAAAATAAACAGTATAAGGAGTAGTTTTGGAGTGAAGATGACATTAGGTGGCACCTGAAGGGGGAAATAGGCATTGGAAGCTAGTGCAAAACACAAAAACAGATAAAGTGTTTATATTCCAATGTACATTATTTAGAATAGATGGTTTGTGGCATCTACTTGAGAAGAAAACCTTGATAACTGATTGTTAGGTTCAGTTTTTGAAACTTTTTTTAAGAAGGGTGGAAATATGGAGGCAATTTCTTATTCTGGGGTCATGAGAACATTCTTCAATCTCTGACTTCAGGGATTGCAATTGACATAAAGCTCCAGCTTTTCCCAGACAGGGACTGAGCACATCAGGGTCACTAATACATTCCTTCTCCTGAGAGACAAAGGATGCCTCTGACAGGTGACTTTGGCTCTAGGACCCCCTAAAAGATTCCTTGATCCCGGAGAGCTGAACTTAGAACTGCACTGCTCTGTAAAATGCTTCCAATCCACTCTTCTTTTCTTCCCTTTCTCCTTCACATGGGGTCAGACGTGAGTCTGAGTCTGATGGCTCTCCCTGCCTCTCCCCATTTTCTCTCACAGGCATTTCCTCTAACAAATGTATTGCATATTTAATCCCAGTTTAGTATCTGCTTCTAGGAGGATTCACACTATAACAATATGAAACTATTTTTGGTAAGTCTGGATATTTTATAATCACCTGTTTTAGTTTACAATAAATACAATTTATTCCTTAAAAAAAGAAGAAGAAACTATTTGGTGATGTTCAAGATCAATGATCTCGGGAAATGGGTAGCTAGGAAAGTTCAGATACTAGGTAGAACCAGTCTATCATATTTCAGCCTATAAACTCTGGCTGCATTTATGTACGGTCCCTATCCTAAGGTAAATTTTATTTCCAATTCCTCTTTCATTAGTCTTTTGTTTAATGGACTCCATAAATAGTTTGTTTAGATATGTTAGCATTATCAAACTTAGAAAGGAAAGCTTAAGAACAAATTATATAGTATGTTTGCCCCATTATAATTATAATTATAATTCATGTTTCCATGATGTATATATTTAGAACAGTGCAAATATCTATAAAATAAAAATAGAGAAAAGAGGGCCTACATACCTTATTAGTATTTGTATTGATCCCAACAAGAAAAACAAGTTCAGCAAGAAATAGGCTACAACAGAGATTTTTGTGAATTGTTGTCCTGGTACTTTGAATTTCACTGAAGAACCAGAAGGTGAAAATGCATATGGCAAGACAAATCAGTGAAATAATTATCCCTAGTTGAGTGATCCTTGTAAGAATATTATAATCTTTAATACCCTAAAGGAAAATAATAATAAAGCTGTTAAGAGAATAACTCGGTAACTTGTCAAAGGAACTACAGCATATAATGAACTTCCTTTTTCGGTGAAACATTAATCAAAATGTTCATAGCATGTAAAACTATAAATGTGCATTTATATGAGAAATATTTAATACTTTTAAAAATCTTCTATATCCAGAGAAGTCTGATATGAATCATGTAGCACTTTTACAGTTCTGTAATTGGTGATTTTTTTCTAGGCACAGTATTTATTAGTATATGGTTTAACAATGTTATCATCATCAATTTCATTATATTAGAAAGGTAATTCATTATTGTAATTTGAAAATGGTTAATTAAAACAGATTTATCAGTGGTAAGACCAAGTCTTATTTCTATGCAGTTATGCATCTAAAGCACATTAAACAAAGGTGTTAGTAATGCTGCATATATGAAATATCAAAGTAGTATAGTTCAGAGACTTTGAAAAGGGGAAAGGTGGTTTTAGTCTAACTAGATGAATATTTATTTTTATATACAAAATAGAGACTTTTTTGCTTACCGCCGAGAAAAAAAATCACCTTTATGATTGACAATATGTTTAGGCAGATTTATTTGGCTACTTTATATACTTAATAATGGATTCTAAATATATGTGGATATAAATCTGTAATCCAATGAAGATTATGATACAGGGTTATAAAATAAGAAATTATTTGATAATTATATAATATAAGTAAAATATTACTGAAGCAAAATACACATTGAAAAGCTATTCACCATAGAGATTTTTCATGTTTGAAAATTTTGTGGGGTTCCACATTGCTAAAAACATTATATTAATTATAAATGTACTAATACTTACTGATCAAGTATCAGACATTTTTAGGCACTTTGTCAGTGGTAAAAATATACTTTCAACAAAAAGACAAAGGCCTTTAAATTTCATGATACATTAAAATGGGTAAATAGGTCTTGAAAGAAGCATTCAAAACTAATTTAACATGTAATCTAGATATTACAGACTACATAAATCCTAGACTCAAAATAACCTATAATCCATATATTAATAAATTTGATGTCTTAGAAGGCAGGTAGAAAAACAAAGACTAAAAGAAAGAGAAGGTTGGGGTTTTATCAGTTATATGAAAAATGCTATTTATACCCTAGAAACACATATAAAATTATTTTCTTGAATGATATTAAAAAAACAGAAAAGGAACAAAGATAGGCAGATTTATAAATATGAAGTGGAAAACTGTCTTACAATGGAATGACTGGAAGACATCAAAATTGCAAAATGTGTCAGGTGATTACAACGACAAGAGGTATGGGTCTCATTGGAGTACATCAGATCACAGCCTTCTGAAGACCAGCTGCCATTCATGGTATCAGGTGAGTAGTTCCAAAATGCACATAGACTACTATATTTATCTATGGTCTGAAAAATACATTTTACTGATGAATAAAAGAGAAAAAGTTGCACGTACAGTATCACTTTGGTCATATTTAAGATACCATTTATAAGATTAAAACAATGCTTAAAAATGAAACATAAAATAAATTCTAATAAATCTAGGCTGCTGTTTGTGGAAGAATAGAAATTTATATTGCAAAAATGCTGTACTTTATCAATATTGTGTCACAAAGTTGTGATAATTTTTATTAAATGAGATCATGCATATGTCATTTAGAAGAGTGTATGACACATAATTATCACATTTATCTTTGTGCAATAAACATTTATTGAATATTTACAAGATATTGATCCAGGTACTAAAATTACAACATTGAACAAAACAAAAAAAAGTATTTGCATTGTCGATCTCATATTCTTATTTGGAAATGAAAATTATTAAATAAGAAAAGCAAAGCAGAGAAAGATGAAAGTAGGATGGAGGTGGTCTGAGGAGATCTTTCCTAGAGGATGATATATAAGCAGATACTTCAATGAAGCAAGGGGTGAGTCCTGCAGACTTGGAAACAATTGGCATGGCAAATGGAAAAGCTCTGAAGTGAGGCTGAATAGATGCCTTCCAGAAACTTCTAGAAGCCAGTCAAGTTTGAGCACAATGTGTGAAGAAGTGGAGACAAGATCAAAGATAGAGACTAGATCACACGGTCAATGGGATGGTTATTCAACACATAGTAGAGTTCTCTTTATCATATTTTTATATTCACTAATTATAACACTATACCTAATGTACTATAAGTTTTAATAATAATTCATTAATAGAATGTTGAACTTGTATAAATAAAAACTATTTACAGTTTCTTAACAATTTACAGTTAACTATATGCCTTCTCATTTACTTTGCTTTGCTTAGTTTGATCCTCAAAAGAATCTTATGAGGTATGTGTTATGTTAAGAAGTCAAGAGATGTCTAAAGATATATTAACATTATCCATTGATATGTAGAGTAACATGGAATCAATTTCAAATCTTCAGACAGCTATTCATTAAAGAAAATGTGCCATGAGTGTCAAATATATGGCTTGCACTGTTCAGGGAACCAGGATTCTTGATTAAGAAGATAAAGCATCTGCTCTTCAAGGATAATATAAATGCAGATGACTTTAATATTAATACACTAAGATAATTGCTCTTATGTGATATATACTAAATACAACCCTTGGATCAACAGTTGGAGTACTGACAAAGTCTGAGTTTGACTGGATTGAGTCTGGGAAGACAAAGATTGAGCCAAAATTAGAGAGATGACCAGAAGTTTTTCAAAGAGGTCAAGCTATAGGAAGAAAATTGTTCCCCCTTCAAAAGCCTGGAAAATGCCCAATCTCAGAGAAACCAGGGAGACTCCAGAATTGAGGAATCACAGTTCACTGAAAGTGTTGGTGTCATTCAGAAAACAGGGGGTTTACACCTCGAGCCCCTATCTTCCCTCCTACCCGGAACATCTTCTTAGTTCTCTTAATCCTTGCAACAAGGCTTCTGCCCTTAGGTAGGAAAGAAAAAGGTTTCCTTCTGGGAAACAGGGTAACTGATTGGCCCAAGAGAAATTGCTTTTAGATACTGACCTTTAGGATCTTCTAGTGCCATGGCCAGGAACCTGCCTAATGAAAACTTTTTAGTGAAGCACACCACTGCCAGAAGCCCACTTGAGCCCACAGAGTCTCGTTATTAAATATGAATGGATGATCATGAACCACCACACATCTGAGGACAAGCTCCAATAGGAAAGATAGGAAACAAAGGAAAACAGTCCAAACAAAGGAAATAAGGAGCAAGATAATGCAGGGAACAGTAACCAGTTTTTAAAAAACATATTCATATATAAATAATATCTTAGAGAGATGAGATACTATGCCCATTAAACAAAATTAGGGTTAAAAAATAAAGATTTTCATTGAAAATTAAATATAAAATAAAAGTAAAAAAATGTTAGGGAAAAAGACATAAAAGAGGGGAAGAAAAATTTTAAAAATTAGAGACTCAGCTTGGATGTTTAATAAGTAATAGGAGGAACAGAAAAAGAGAACAAAGATACTGCACAGGAGAAATTATCAAGAAAATATTAGAAAATTCTCGAAAAGTGAAGCTATGTATTTTCAGACTGAAAAGACTCAAAAAAGCCTGTTACAATTAATGAAGAAATACGCTAAAGTCCATATTAAAGATTTTTAAATAATGAGAATAAAAGTAAGATCTCAAAAGTTTAAGAACAAGAGATAGAGAAAAAGACTGATCGCAAGGTAAAGACCACAAATTTTAATTAAACATTAATTTCATTCAACTTCTTCAGGTTAACCCTGAAAGCCAGAAGACATATGAGCAGATTCTAGAAAATTATGAGAAAAAACTGTAATTGAGAACTCTAGACCATGGTATTTGCCTAGCAAGTATAAGGGTAAGGCGGAAAAATACACGCATATATAACATATGTTTTTTAAAAAACCTAATAATGCATGAGCTCAAAAAATGGACCTTCCATGCTCCCTTTCTCAAGCAACTGCTGGAGAACATGCTACCAAAATACATATACCAACTAAGAAAGAGGAAGACATTGTCTGGAGGAGACATGCATCTGACACAGCTGAGAGGTGAATGGTACGTGAGGAACAATGAGGAAAGGCACGTCCAGGCTGAGCATCCTGACAGAATCAGGTCACAAAGGCTTGGGAAGGATGTCTCCAAGACAACAAATTAACTGACAGATAATTTTACATGTTTGGATGTTTTGAGAGGCAATTTATAATACTGTGAAAAAATTGGAACAAATTAATAATAGATAAGCAGAAATCTAACCAAACTAACATAGAGAAATTTATTAACACTAGGAAAAAGATTCAGCTTCATGATTCAGTTGTGACTAACACATACCAAATTAATACTACACACATTGAAAAATGATTTTCCAAGAATTGGAGGTAAGTGTGCGTGGATGGGTGGATGGGTGGATGGGTGGATGGGGCAGTGTGTATATCACAAGGGATGATGTGTGTAAGAAAACTAAATCTGAATCTTCCATAGATGGCAGTCGATATATAACATGTATATTTTAGCACCTTAAAATGAAGAAGAGTTATTGAGTTTGGGTTGAAGGTGATACAGGGCCAAAGAAGGATGATTTTCCTTTTTTTGTAAGAAGCCAGAAGCTTGAGTCTATTACCTGAGACACTAGCATCAGTATGAAGAGATCCAGGAAAGATAAGTTTGTGGATAGAGCATAAGATAAGTTCATGGATAGAACATAATTTCTTGGGAGGTAGGTTGCGGAGGGAGTCAGAGAACTTGACTGAGCAGGTGTATCATAGCTGTTGAAGGTATGGATTCTGGAAGAAGACTGTATGAGACTGAAACCTTCTTCTACCAGTTGATTGCTGAGTGACCATAAATAAATTATTTAATCTCTCTGAACTCAGTTTCCTTACCTATAAAATGGTGATAATAGTATATAACTCTTATGAGGAGTAAATGAGTTGTTTTTTAAAAGTGTATAACTAATATTCCTTTGAAGTAATGCAAAGTATTTGAAGTATGTATTAATCAGTCAAGTCACAGATAGATTATTGGGGAATCAGAACACTGGAAATATTATATATGAGATAGTTTTTATTTTCTGAGAAAAAATAGGATCAAAATTTCATTCTCAGAGAGAGTGGAAGCTGGGATTAAGTAGGTATACTTTCAGAGGGGAGTGATGAAATTTCATAATAGTCATTATTTTGAATGGGAAACAATATTTGAACAGGGAGGCAGATTAAGGACAATTAAGTCTTCCTATTAATTATTATAAAGAGTTTTTGTTCAAACGTGTGTTTAGTTTTGTTTTGTTTCTTTGTCAGATAGGCATTGGTGAAGTGGGTTACCCTTGGCAACTCCTCAGCTGCCAAAATATTCCACTGATAAACAGCACAGTTCACACTCACAAAGATGTAGAATCAACCTAAATGTCCATCAATTCATGAATGGATTAACAAAATGTGTGTGTGTATGTGTGTGTGTGTGTGTGTGTGTAGTACTACTCAGCCATAAAAAGGAAATGAATTAATGTCCTTTGCAGGCAACTTGGATGGAACTGGAGAGCATTATCCTAAGTGAAGTATCTCAGGAATGGAAAAACACACACCATGTGTGTTCCCTAATAAGTTGGAACTAATTGATGGTCACACATGGGTACAGAAAAATTAAAAGTCATTGGAAATCAATCACCAGGGAGAAGGGAGGAAGGTTGGGGTAAAAACCTACCTGAGGTGCAATGCACACTTTTCGGGTGGGTAATGGACACACTAATAGCCCTCATAAAAGGTATCCATGTAACAAAAACATTTGTACCCACTTAATATTTTGAAAAACAAGAAACTAGAAAAACCATTAGATCACATAAAATAACAATGTTTAATTTCTAGTATTAAAAATGTCTTTGGGATTTAGCATCTGAAAAACAAATCCAAGTCTAGTTTCTATTAAAACATTTCACACTTTTTTCCCTTCAACATAATGCTTGCTATTGTTTGTTTGAGCTATTATTTAATATTTATTTAATTTTCCATACATTTACTTTCTCTGTACATTACATCTTTATTTAACAGAGACACATTTGTACTATGTATAAGCATAAATGTTCTTTAGGTTTAGAAAGCCCCTCCTCCATCATATTAGAAAGCCCCTCCTCCATCATTATATTTGCATATTGCTTCAAGATTTTTCAAATGGAGCTTCAGAGGTACTTTAATCATGTACTAGAACTGAAATTGTGTTGAAAGCCCAAGAAACCATCAACTGTAACAAGATAGCAAACACTCCATGATTTTGAGTTTCTTCATTCATTTTTATTGAAAATAACTACATACTAGGTTAGTTCTAATCATGCTTTTTATTATATAGCTTTAATTATAAATGAGTTTGAAAAATGATTTAGATCATTTAAGTCATTTAGATCATAATCTAGAAGAAAAATAACAAGAGTAAAATGGTCTCTGCTAATTTCTTTATGAAATATTGTAAACTTTTCTATGATTTTATTTTAATTAATCCCCCAAACCCTTCAAGTATTGTTCTAAATGATAAGTATTAACCGAACACCTCCTTTATTACACAAATGACATTTATTTCTTTGATTATGATACTTATAAGTCCTTCCTTGAAAATATGAAAACTTTCACATTAAACAATATGCTTTGAAATAAAACTAAAATATAGCTTAATTTCAGAGAATCAAATATGTAAATCCTTTGGTGTTGATTAGAAAATTTAAACAGCACTGAAAGTAAAAAATATTTTTTAGAAAAATTAGTTAAAACCACTTTACTCTTTTAATTTTGGATCTGTAGTTTTAAACTCAAGAATTCACATATAATTTAAGTGACACAATAAAAGAGAAAGTTCACTTATATATACTATTGTATCACAGTCATAGCCAACAACTACCAGAAAAACAGCTTACCTTTAGGTGACTTAAAGTAAATGTTATTTTTTCAAGTTCATACAATGTTGGTGGGTTTGAGCTAATCGAGACTGAAATTACTGAAGAGATGACTCTTTCCTCCTCTTCAGAATTATCATAATTTTGAGGTTCCAATAAGGAGTTGTCAGACGATGAAAACAAGGGACCAATACTCTTATAATATAAAAATGCAACTGCAACATTGCCTATCAATCAAATAAGTATACTTAGAGTGAAATTCTTATAAAATTAAAATATATTTGAACTCTTAAAATAAACATAAAAATTGAATAGGCAAAAGTTTACTTTAAAAGAATTATACAAATACCCAGATACTAAAATGTGGGCCACAGTAAGCCCAGGCCTGAACCATATTAAGATTTATATTCTCTGACCTCTGCAAATCCAAAAATAATCATGAACTGTAGTATTCCTTTTGCACAAACTATATTTAGGAGAAAAATAGCCCTAGATAAATTTAAATCCAAATCCTAAGAACCAGGTTGTGAAGTATATTCACGTGAAAGATAAAATTTTGAGTTATTACTTCCATGTGCAAATATATAAATTGAACAGGTAATGGGAGAAAATTATCACAGGCTTAGATTGAATGAGTTGTGACATGTTACTGAGTTTAAACGTATGTCCACTGAAATGGTTCTTACTTAATATTGATAACATATAGTTATGCAGTGTCAGGGTAGGAAAGGCTGCTTTGAGAGGCAGACATTTATCTCTGCCTCTGAAATCCCCAAATGCAGTGCATCAGCACATAACCCAGTACTACAAAATCATAAATTCCAATGTTGATAGTATCATCGAAAACAAAGGACTACAATAACAAAACTGGAAACCTCCGTATCACACTAATAAATAGAATTCTTTGGAAATGCTTATGTTAGTTAAAAGTTGCCACAGTGTGTCACTATTCATGTTTTCTATCTTTACCTGAAAAAGCACCTTGAAAGATTGCTAAGAACCTTGCTAAACCCAGATACATTACATAGAGCATTTTTCTTAAATGCCAGCTTAGAAAACGTGTATTAAAAAAAAAAATGGATGTTAGGATATCCTGGTTGGTCTAGTAAAATTATGGCTCCAAGTGATAACAACCATCCCAGCCTTTGCTATAAACATTTCAGGGCCTGCAGTAGGACCTGGATACCTTTTAGGTCAACATGACCTGGTCCAGTTGATGAACCAGTGCATGGGACAGTGGCTTCTCAGGAGTTGCAGCAGGAGATGGTCCAAAATCAAATGAAGAAGAAAAAAAGATGTATTTAAAAAATCTATTAATTACCATACCCTCTCTAAATGGAAATGTTTATTTAATATCAAGTTCTGACTTTAAGTAAGGGGTGCCACAAAGACTGTTCCAAAATAACTCTTACCTCCTTTAAGAATATATACTCAGTATTTTTCCATTCTCATCATTTTAAACCTCTTCCAATTCCCGTGATTCCTCACTAATTCTAGGCCTGATCATAGCTTTGAATTCTCTTGCCTAATCTATACCCTCTATAAAAAACTAAGGGTTCATTCACTGAACCCTTAGTTTATTCACTGAACCATTAGTCATGCAAGGGACTAAAAACTTGGAATCATTTGTAAAGAATAAGTAATTTTCCACTAAATCATTATCCATCCTTCCTCATTTTTCTTCTTGTTTATTCTAGTCTTTTTACCCTAAGATCTTTCTAATATCTGTTAACATTGCCGTATCTTTACTAAGAACAAGTTATAGCCTTCAATTCAATGAATAGAACACATATTTGAGCAATTACATAGTGCAAATAATTGTGATAAGTTCTGAAGACTTTACTTCAGAATTAATACCTATATATATTTGTTAAAGGATTCTCATTTGGTAGCTCTTCTTCCTTCTTCCTATCTTATTTTCTTTTTGTTACTTATACTGCTTTTAAATGAAATTAATAAAGCCTTTTATTACTGTGGTCCAATCATGAGTTGGACACCACAGTATTGGAAAACTATCAGGAAGGCACCAGAAGTTATGATTTTCCTTATGTTAAATTCCAAAATCAATTTTTCCCACATAGACTATGCAACGAACTCCTTAGAGAATAACAATGATCTCCTTAGAGATTTATTGTTCTTAAACTTCCTGCCTTATTGCTACTTTCATTTGAGAATAATTAAAAACACCTTATCAATAGGGCTTCATATGCTCCTCTTTTTTGACAGCTAAATATTATCCCAATTTCAGAAGTTAAAAACAAATATGTGAATCTCTTAATAAAAATCTATTGTCTTTTTATTATAAAATGGTATTTCAGAGCATTGAATGTTGTTATGCTCATTCTCAACACCTCCCCCTTAACTCTTCTACAATTCAATCTATAAAAAAAGATTAAAGATCCACCTGTGCCCCATGGATTGCCTTTATTTTCCTACTAATTACATTGTGCATGTTTTAAATAATTCATGTGTTTTATTAATGAATTTTGTCAATAAATGGATAATCACAGGCAGACATTGAGAGAGTTTTATCAGTTTGTTAGATTTGTCCTGATTTTTAGATCCAACCTTGAGGAAAACATATTTTCTCACTCTGCTGTATCAAGAGCTGATATGACAGTCCCTTTCAAATGTCAGTTTGTATATGGGATCATTAAATGTTGCAAAGCTACCATACAATCAGACAGGATCTCCTTGAGATATTAATTCCATGACAATTTAATCACCTGTCACTATAATAAGTATTTTCAATGTCTTTTGCCAAGCTTACAAACACTACTAAAATTGTCTTTGAAATTTCAACAGTTTAATACATTCTTTGGATTTGAGGCTAAATATTAGATGTATACATGGTTAATTAGAATATGATATAATAGACTAAGAGCACAGGGGTAGATGACAGTGTGGCTTAGTTATTTTTGCTTCATTTTATGACCATTTATTTCTTACTTTTGTGGAGAAAATGACAAGAAAGAATGGATAAGATAGTACTGGTAGATTAGAAAAAAAAATCCAACATCAGTGCAGGGAAAAAAAAAAAAACAAAAAAGATGCTCTTCTGAGAATGAATGTGTAACATATTTGTAACAATAGAGAAAATATATCTTTTTATGAAACGGTGTCTACAGATGAGATCATATGTGTGTTGTATATATTTTTAATTTGTATTTATGACCATCCACACATTCTTTGAGAACATATAATTTATAATTTACATTTTCCCTAGGAAATATATTTTTACCTGGATAAGAACAAAAATAACGAAAATTCCTACTATCAGCAGAATTTTTTTTTTAGTGAATTGCACTAAGAGAGCAGATAAATGGTTAAAATAGTAGCTACTTGCTTGACTATAATTAGTGACATGGAAAAGCTAATTTCTTTGAGGAAGGACTAATTCCTTTGTTAACTCCCTTCTAGAACTGACTCTGTACTGTCTGCTGGTTTGCATGGAGACAAATCCATTAACTTTGTGCATTAGTTCCATCATCCACAAAGGATATTCACTTATACAATCATTACATTGCTTGTGAGTACTAGCATTCTCTGATTCAATTTTTTTTTTAAATACAGCCTTTAGTTTAGTTGAAGAGTTTACTAAGAAATGACAAATGGAAAAAGTCTAAGCCCAAACAAAAACTTACTTTTTTAAAACACTATTTCTAAAAAAAATAAAAAAAAAAAAAATAAAAACACTATTTCTGTTTTACTTCTTTACACAATCATAAATTTAATCTCCTGATGAAGAATATGGTGGATTACTGAAGAAGATTCAAAATTGTATGCAAATTATAGCATCTTTGCTGCTATAAAAAGTAGTAAAATCAGAGTTCTTTTGTATATTTGCACTGGAATGTCAAAAATGATTATCTGACGGAGGTAAGACAAAGACCCAGATATTGTCAGTTAAAATTCCCCCAGGCATTTGTACAAATATAGATATTCTGTATTCTATAAAATCATCAAGTATTTTTCTATAGGAAAGCACACATGTTATATGTAAATCTAATCAAACATATGATAAGTATTTATTGAAAATTCATTACCCATATCATATATAAGATTGTTAATGTCCTACCATCTGAATCATATGCAGCTCTTCTCTTTGGAAATATGTTTATATAATCTCCACCCACATTCATATGAGGATGAATATGATTCATGTGGTTTGAGTCAAAAAAGAAAACTTTGAGAGCTGAAACAAACCGTGAAAATAAAAAAATCTGAAATTAGTTTAATCGATATATCTAATCAATATAACTTCTTATTTAGAGACAATTTCATCCATCATTATTGTATTTTCAACTTCTTATTTATGGCAAGGAGAATGAACATAATCTGAACATGTTTGGACAGTATCATTTATATCTTAAAAATCTGACTTGAGTTTTAATATTTTGATTTCTCTATAGCACTCATGGTTTAATTTAATCTTTACTGAATTAAATAAAAAATAAAATGTGTATGTATTGAAAGAAGCTATAAATCATAATTACCAAAGCAAAGATAAGTAACTACCATGTCTTAGAGTATGGTATCTATAACATAACTTACTATGAAAAGAGTGATTGAATTCAATTCTTGAGTGATAATTCCCTTACCTGGGTTAATTTCACCTTTTTCATGGAAAAATATCATAAAAAATGTAGGGCACCTATATATTAATCACAATGATTAAAACCTTGATTTCAAGTAAATGGTGAATCCTGATGAGATTTTTGTATATCTACTATTGCATAGCAGGACATCACCCAGAAAATGTATAAAGATTCATGCAATAATTATTTCAGAAAATGTGCCTTGTTTCCTCAGAACAACCATATTGGGATCCACAATTTGATACAAGATCTTGAGTCTTTTAAGTATGAAATTGCGTGAAGCAGGAAACATTCTAATTTACTATGTTGATTACTTCATATTATTAAAAGGCAAAGGATTCTTAAAGAAAAAAATTGAATATATTATATCCAAAAGATCTGATGTAAGTCTCATTGGTTAAGGTGGATCCTACCAAGCCATAAGATAACCGACTCAAATAACAAGGGAATAATGTAGTTAAATGCTAAACAGTTCAGGAATAGGAAAAGGTGGACATAAGAGGAAGGAAGCAACTCTTACATATTCATCTTTTTTACTAGTACTTCATTTGTACTGCTCTTGTAATATGCATCACCATTCATTTCTACATTGATAAAACTATACCAATTCAATCAATAGTATTATAAATACCCCCCCCCACCACTTTTGAGAATGGCTTATTTGAAAAACACTATTGCTTTGAAATTGACCTCCCCTTCTTACCTACATCACTTGAATTAGTATCAAACTGAGTGGTCTTTTGGAAGTTCTGAGATATCCTTAAGGTACCCTGCTCAGCAGTGTGCATGAGTTTTGCAAGATGAGTTCTCCTGTGATTCGTAGATAACTTGTCCCAAACTATAAATGTATCCTTTTGAACAAAATTATTCACGGTTTTTACAAATTCCTATTGAAAAGAAAAGTTATGCCTTTTAAAGATGTTGGAATCCTACACTAATCACAGATGAAAGGAAAAATTTCAAGCTCAATTATGTTAAGAGTTAAAGCTCAACATACTTACAGTCAGAGTTGTATTAGAAAGGGTATCCTTGGCTGAGATAGTGTTATTCCTGTAACCTAGTAATGGGGATGATTCAGCTAATATTTCTATATATGTAACTATGTCCATTGGTGAAAGATCTGTCACAGAATTTCTATAGACTTCTTGTAGCAAAGCCACAGGTTCTTCTAGGGATCTAAACTGAGCAAAATGAATCCAAAACAAGGAAACTAATTTAGAATTTTACTGGAGCTTTTCAAGAATAAAACATATGTTAAATTCATTCTGAGGTTGGCTTTCTTGTTCTATACATAAATAATATCAAACTAATAAACTTAAGCCATAACATATAGCACTAAAACCTGAATTTATTTACAAGAGATTAGCACATAACTTAAAACGAATAAAAGTTACTTCCGAAAGAAACAGAGCGTTTGAATTGATAATTTTTTAAATTAGCTTTTAAAATAAATTCTTATTCTTTGATATCAAATTATACTTTATCCAATGAACCTACCTTGATATTTAAACTTCTTAGTACTTATAAATATTGACATCCTAAGTAATAAATTATAATATACTTTGAATTAGAATTTAATCAACCAAAGGAAATTCTTTATAATGTGATTAAATGAAAATTTTCTTTAGCTGATAGCTGATTACTCATATCGAAAGTCACAATTTCAAACATATGACAATAATTTTGTGAATATCTTATTTTATTTGCTCTTTGAAATATTCACTTTGAAGTACCAAACCTAGTTGCCTTCAATTATGTCTCCTTTGAATGTGGAAATGGTCTAGAGTTAAAGTAGATTTTTATTATTTTAATCATCAACTTTCTTTACATATTGAGAAGAATTATCCAGTGTACCAAATAATGAAAAAGTAACAAATTAAATATGTAAAAGTCTTCTTGAATACTTTTGGGATTTTCAAATTAATCCTATCTGTGTTGCAAACATGATACTTAGATTTCTATGTGTAAGTATTTTCAACTCCACCTAAAGTTCATTCAACTCGTTACTCTTCTTGAAATGCGACATTGGGAGTATTTTAACTGAAACCAAAATGTCAAAATAAAATAAATTGTTGACTCTATTAGTCTACTTACTTTTGATAAAGTTTTATTAATATGTGCAGCAATACAGGCATTATCTAAATGGCAGTTTGCATTCACAACTTCTGTAGAAAAAGAAAATAGATTATGCAGTAGATTATAAAAAATATTTTTTTTCTAAGGTGACCATATTAATTCCATTGATTTTGCACACGTAATGTTTAAACATTAAAAGGACATTCTGTAACACTTGAGTTTCAGTTTCAGTTTTAGAATACACGTTGTTTTATAGAAAATGAAATAAAGTAGTTTTAAGGACTATGGCATGTTAATTACATAAAATATATTATCTATATCTTCCATTAAATAAAACATTATCTTTTCTTTTGTTAATTTCATAGAAGATAAAGGAATGCTGGCACGAAGGCATAGCTCTGTGATACTTCCCAATTGTGTAATACATATTATATATAGTTTTTGATCATACATAAAATTTAATAATATAATTTACCTTGGCAGTAAGTACCATCATTAGCGGTGAAGTGTGATTTTCCTGTGGATGTCTGATAACCTTCCTTGCAGGAGCAGTTGTACCCACCATTCACATTTTCACACACCGCGTGATCACCACAGACAACTGACTCACTGCACTCATCTATATCTGGAAATGTTTGAAAAATTAATTTTGTATTTAGTGCTCATATAGTTGCTAACTTGTGGTTTCATATCAAATTTCTCAAAAAAAGCACGAAAAATTCTAACATTTCAAAAATGGCAAAACAAACGTAGCTGCATATATTTTTTAACTCTAATTTGCCCAATCTAATTAACAAATAATTGAAAATGTTATTCATGGGCTACACTCTCAAACTTCATTCTGAATAGCATGATTAATCAATAAAGTCATTATACCAATTTTCATCATTGACAATGTGACATTTAGTCTTAATTTAATAAAAAAACAATTTTTAAATACATTTAAACTTATTTTTTCCAGTATTAAACTAAGTTGAATGTAACAACTCAGTTTAGAGTAAACTGGAGGATAAAAGAGTGATCCATTTTCTTTCCAAAGCTTCATTTTTGCATGTAAGTTAACCTAAAAAACTAAGATGTAGCAGAATGTGTTACTGAACTCCCTTAAAATTTTATAACTCGTTACTTTTGTTTGGGTCATATTTTACCATTGTTCTTAATACACAATCACCATTGATAAAGTAATTGTACAGAATAAAGTCTTAGATTCTCAGTAGCCATATATTGAAGCCATAATAAAAGTGCTGAATTTTAAGCTCACATAATTTATATTTTTAATCTAAAATTTTACATACTACAGTGAAATATGCTTTAAAATTATTAATACAGTATAAAAACTCTGCCAGTATAAGAAAAGATTCCAAGGAACTGAAAAGTCCTTATCATTACCTTAAATTAACACAAAGATTTTTGTGTTTCTAGCCCAGCTCTGAGAACGTGGAGATACTTTATGTTAAATTAATGAATGAACCTGTAGTCTTAAATTTACAATTTGATTTTTTAGATACTAGTAGAGCAGCACAATACTGCTTGCTATAATAAAAAGATGAGTAATCAAAATCTAATTTAAAATGTCATCTAGCTAGGTATCTTAAATGCAGCTGCTCCTAATTTCTCACTTAAAAATACAATAAAGACAAAAAAAAGCTAGAATTTACATTGAGTCTCTTGCTAGATTCTTGAAAAAATTTCCGTTAGCTAGAAAGATTATGGCACTAGATTTAAGAAGTCAATTAATAGCCCAAGCCTGAAGGAAGATTAGAAAAGCTCTTGTTTTTCTGACAAGTCTATATATTTACGATCTTTACTACCCAGAAATCTTCTAAAGAAAGAGGAATGTTTCTGCATCATCATTTCTCTTCTTCTCATTTCTATGTGTATTCAGAAATTACCACTCCACAAAAACAAATGAACAGAAAATAAAGTAGGGGACAAGCAGATGGTCTCTTGGGATATGGAGAACCACCAAAGAAAGCATTTAGTCCTGGCTAAAGACAGAAGAACACAGGTGGTAGTATATACCAGGGCTATTATTATTTTTCTTATTATCAATGAATTTTTAATTCATTGATATTATCAATTATCATAGCACTAAATCAAAGATGAGTCTTTTTTATTATTATTATTATTGAGTGAGGCTATTGAAAGAACACACATGCTCTACCCCAACTGGGAAAATACCCCAATGAAAGTGTGAACAGACATATAAAGTATCATAAGTAGAACAATTGATTTAATGGCCAAGAAAAGTATAATGTTCTTTGAATGTCCATGTTTTGTAGTTTAGATGCCTTCTATGTATAACAGTAAACAAGGTTTTGATTTCTTTCAATTTCAAAACCATTTAAATGTACAACATTCTTGGGAATTTCATACCAAACCCAATCTCTGAGCAACATAAAAAATCTTGGCTCTACAAACTCAATTGCTATTCTCCTTCTTGCACTTTATACTTAACCGTACACAATCTTGGTGCTAACAACTGATTTTGTTTCAGCTTTTCCCTGTGCCTCCTCCACAATCTTTGGTATTTCTGTTGAGATCTCTATTCTAGGTCAAGCCCTCCCACCACCACTCATTTAACCAGTTTGTGTTCCAGCATGTCAGCCTTGGACCAAGTAGGGTATTTCAGGTTCTGGATTCACCGAGGACATTATGGCAATCTGTAAAAAATAATGAGGTAGTATGGTATCCTGGGATGCTAACATTGAAGATTAAGTTTATATGATTTTTTTTTATAGCCAGACTCCAAATGTTACGAAAGAATATTAAGCAGCCCATCAATGTTTTCCAAACTGTTGTCTGATCTGCATTTTTATTTTTCATTATTTTGTACTAAAATGTGGAAATAAGGTATACTGAATTTGATACCATTCTCATTCTGGGCTTTAGTGGTAGAGTTTATAGAGTTTAACCCAGTAATGGAATATGTGACCACCTCAACTGGTTGTGTGCCTAGGTAGTCAGAAGAGCTTCCACTATCCTCAGCCCTACATCATTCTATGCCTCCTTTTTACCCAGTGATACAGAGAAAACCATAAAACATTGAAAAAGCATCTCATCTCAGAATGAGATGAAACTGTTGTGGCCAAAATGAATGTAACTGCCATTTTGCAGTAAGATCCACACTAACTTCTCTTGCAATCTCTTGCAAGGCCCAAGTGGTTTGAATCTAATAAATCTACTCTTGTTTCCTTCTTCCTGCAGGAAAAGGCACTGGGTTTGCTAATTAAAAGATCTTAATTCAAATCCTGACTCTAACACTCATTATCTGTGTGACCTTGGGTAGTATCTTAAAAAAATACCTTCTAACTCATAACAGTCCTATCTCATAACAAATGAGGAAATGTATGTGTAGAGTGTTTGGAGTGGTGCTTAGGACATAGTAGGTACCTGATATTGTAAGTGGAAAATCAGGATCAGTGATTCTATTCTATATTGTATGTTTTCCCATTAGCAGGAGTCCTGTGAATAAGTAGGTTTGGAGATATAGGTTGATAAAGAGTGACTTTTTAGGTTGCCATGTCTTGGTAATCCTCAAGGCTGTAAAAGAGAAAAAGAACCTCTCCCTCACCTAATGAAAGCTAAATTGCTCCTATGCAATTATTGAAGTCAGGTTAGAATTGACAAAACAATATTTATTAATTGACCTACTCTCCCCACTACCAGTTTATCACTTGACTTTATACTAGTAATTTGATACCAGAAAATGAAAGCATATCATTAACAAACTTCATTCATTTGCTACTTTTTCATTAATAAAGTTATGCTTGTTTTTCATGTCTACAATTAGCCAACCCAACAGTATTTTATTATAATCTTCTTTCAAAACACGATCATATGATGGTTATGATTCCTATAATTATTATCAATAATGGAGTTTTCTAATGTTTAAGTCACAGACTGCAAAGAAAAGATATTCAGTTGTTGGAAATAATTTTCAAAGATAAAATCTAATTTTAATAATATTTAAAGCTAGAAAAAATTTAAAATTATCGTAGAGTCTCCAAGGACATAAAACATTATAAGCAGTAAACAGTGCTCTAAAGCACGTAGTGAAAGTAAAGGAATTCTTGGCTTCTACAAATTTGGCCTTGTGAGAGTCCTTTCATGATTGGAGGCCTCAGTATCCTCATTGGTGAAATGCCGGTCAAAAGCCCATCAAGAGCTGGGCTTCTGATATTTTTTTTTACTGTGATTTCAAGGGTAGAAAAAATATGCATGGTGCTAAATATCACTCAAAGCCTTCTGCTGCAAAATTACCTTATCTGTGAAAAATAGTGTTTGAATATGGACTAACGGTAAAGAGCTTTGCTTGGATCATTTCTTGCCCTATATTGGAGTCTTCAATTTTCTATTCACAGAGGTTCTTAATGATTATAATTACCAGACATGTCAAATTTAAGGGTTAGCTAAAATTTCATATCAGAAGCAGTGCACTATAAGGTGATATTCTAATTTAGAAAAAGAATAGATTTATGTTTCTTTGTTCAAATACCTTGAGGATTATCATAGTACACAATGAAAATTGCTACAGGAATGGAGAAAAAAGAAGTAGCTGCATAGCTTCTTAAAAAAGCTTAATCCTTAAGGACAAGAAATGGTGAGAAATAACATTTTTCTAGAAACTGAGTTTTTCACTGAATAATCCATCAAACAAAACAGGTAAAAACAGAAGGACACAACAGCAGGTATTGGGTTTTGATATAGTTAGTACATTTGCTGACTACTTAAGATAGCTAAAAATGGAAGTAGCAAAAATTTAGGGTCATTCTACAGTATCTCAACAGAACTGAGTACTGAGAGAACGACTCTTAAATTACAAATATACTACACACCCTTAAAACGCTGGCATTGTGTGTGTGTGTTTTCTTCTCTATCTATGACTCAGTATTTTCTAATGTAGGAATTCTCTACTTGAAGGAACATGGACAGAGAAATATAGCCCTTTGTGAATTGAGGGATATTAAAAGTAAACACGATCAGATAAAAAGACAGATGTCTTCTAGAGACAAGGGACATTAGGGAATGAAGAGCACAGTTAAAATTAGATTAAATTACAGTGATTAAGATGTTACAAGTTAGACTTCTTCACTAACTGGAACATTTTTACTAAAGCTTACATGTAATGAGAACTTAACTATTAAAGGTAAAACACACACATTATATGGCATTCTAAGACTGGACAAGAATATAGGCTTGAAAAGAACAAATAGCAAAGTACTGTACGTTTTCTGGGCAGAATCTCATATACTCCTATTTCCTGAATTTATTGTCATGCTATATTCCAATATATTATTTTTCAGCAAACATTAAAGATAAATTATTATTCGACAGAAATAGCATTATTTTCTCATATTTTAAATATTTTATACTGTTGCAAAACTTGACTCACTGCATTTGCATGAATCAGATTAATGTAGGAGATGTAAATGGTCCACTCATTTACATATCTGTGGAAATATTAATAACAATGGCCTTCTAGGTACAAGACTGTGATTCTAGTCCTACTTTTATCCTAAATGTGTGAGCCTAGAGTAGCCCTTCACTTCCCCCAGCAATAAAATGAGGAGAATAAAATCTTCCCTATTTACATAGCAGAGTAAATGTTGTGAAACACAGGTACACGAGACTGGATAATTTCTTTAATATAGACATTTCATAGATAAATTTTCTTTGAACATTTTATCCTAATTCATCATATGTAAATAATATCTCACTAGGGAACTAAGCAAAGGATTTAGTGTGATCTAAATTAACTAGAAAATGTCTCTTTTATTTAACTATGTAATGCAAAAGCAGCGCACTTTTCCTGTCTATTATGTTCCTAAATTCTAGTCCCATATTTAACCTTGGCTATATGATTAAATTCTCAGGGCCTAAATGCATCTATCAATTTCATAGCTTAAGAATCATAATTGATTATACTAGTTATTGGTAAATTGGATATGTTTTTAAAATCCATGATTAAAATGATTTAATATTTATTTTCAAAGTTAAAAATCTTTAGCTCCAGAAAATTTGCTTCTGAAAATTGTTAATGTTAAAGTTCTAAATAATCTTTTTTTCTCTCAGACTGTAATCCAAATTCTATAGGAACTGATAAATCACATGTATGACCAAATTAGAAGAATATCATTTTATATATCTTCTAGATATTTTCTTCAAACTCAGAATACATGAACAATCACTTAAGGATTGAATTGAGATTACTATCTATACAAAGGACATTTAAGTGAACCTGAGATGGTTTTCTAAATAGAACTCTAGTATTCAGAAAAACTTAATACAGATCTGAAGTGTGACTTTCATCAAGGCAGAAGTAAAACCACTAGAACAAATCTTTCGTAACTATGAAAAACTGTGGAACCCATTGCAGAGTGCACATTTATAAAGCATCAATATCTTATAATATAAATGGCAATTTTCTTGAGTTAATGTATTTTTCTTAATTACAAATATTTGTTCTGTCATTTGCCACCATGCTAGATCTCATGGCTTCATGAAACACTTTTCTTTGTTTCTGTAAACTATTTGATTTTCTCAATTTTTTTTTCTTCTATCCTTGGATAAATATTCCACAGTAACTGATCATAACACCATTAGAGAAATAAAGAAATTGAAAATATTTAACAACTAGAGTACAATCAGGGTCTGGTAGAATTTGATTCAAATATTATTTAATCTCTGGAGGTAATAATAAACAGTAAGAGATAGGTACACATTGTAACTTAGATAATTGAACTTACCTATGCAGATGGTTCCATCATTAGTGATAAACCTGTCTTGGTTACTGCTGGATCTAAAACCAGGTACACACATACAATAATAACTTCCCTCCGTGTTAGTGCAATTGGCATTTTCACCACAGGACTGGGTTAAATTTCCACACTCATTATCATCTGTGGATATATCAATTAAAAACATTATTTTATATAATTGACATAAATTTCTACTATTTTGCATCAACATCTGGGAATTTTGACTGTGAAATAGTTTAAGGTAATGCCATGTTTATTTCTAAGAAAACTTAATACTAAAGAATCCACATTCTACACTTATCTTATTCTTGTTTATAATGTGAAAACTTCTTTGTAGTTGCAAAGCAAAATAGAATCTCTTACTTTAAATGCACTAGATAGAACTATTAAGTCTACATTGTGATTTAAAAAAATTATGTGTATTTTAATTATAACAATGTCAATAAATATATACTCATTTGTGAATTTGTAATACTCTTCTTGAATAGTCAAAAGCACATCCTAAGTTAAAAATGAAAAATCTGATTACAAATTGACATACTCATCATTTACTACTTATTTTCATCCTTTGTTTCATAGAAAACTTCTGCAATACTAGGTTTGCAATCTCTTAATTTATTCATTAATACATTTATTAATAACTACATCATTATTTTGTTCTACAAAAGAGTACACAATATAAAAAATCTAAAACAAAATTATAACATGGTCTTTACCCTTACAATATAATTTACTAGAAAAGATAAAAGTTCATAAACCCCTTTTTAAAACTCAGAAAGAAGATTTATATTATCTATTAAGTAAATGGATTAGAAAATATGTGCTTCTCAGAGGTGACCATGATGGGCTGGAGGAAGAGAACATTTTCCAGTGGTATGAGACCCTGTTGTGGGTTGAGTTGTATCTTTCAAAAAGATATCTTCAAGTCCTAACCCCATGGTGTCTGTGAATGTGATGTTATTTGGAAATAGAACCTTTGTGTATATAATCAAGTTAAATTGGTTTCATACTGGATTAGACTGGGAAAGTTGCTAAAAATATAACATTAAGCAAGATAAACTGTGAATAGTCATATAACATGCTAATGAGTTAAACCTTTATTAACATGTATATATTTAATTTATCTAATTATGTAACTCTATATGGCTATATATACATATATACTCAGAAAGCAGATATTTATGTCTATGTGTTCATAGAAGAGAAATTAGTTTCTTAAAATTAACTGAGAGTGGCTCACAAATTGAACACAAGCACTTAAATCAAGCTACAGAAAAAATTTTCACCCACTTTGGGTCTGATTCAATCATCCAGTTACTCAAATATTTATGGAGCTTCCCAGTTCCCAAATGTGAATATGTCTATACTGGGAAATAAGTAAAAATTAATCAAAAGTCAGGATCTGTGCCCTGCTGTCAGAGTTCACATTCTAAAGGCACGTTAACACAGAAGCATATAATTGAGTTTTTATTAAAATAAAAGTTTTCATTTTTATCTCTAAATTTGACTCCCTTCCCAGCATACTGGGAGAAGTTTATATTAAACTTTAAAGGAAATTGTGCTCTCAGATCAGTTATTGGTAATATAGAGGACAATGAGGATTGTATCCCTTGTGGACCATAGCTGCAAAAATGATATGCAAAAATACAGGATAAAAGGACTCACTAGGTCTGAGGTATTGGTCAGAGTCCAAGAAAAATGAAGCACTTTATATCACCTAACTGTGTTTCTAAAAATAAATTATCATACTAATATGTTACTTAACTCCAACATATTTTTACTAATCTTGGGTAACATTAATAGGCAGAAAAACCCCAAAGATTGATACTAATCTCTCCCTATTGTATGGTTTTGAGCACATGACTTCTTAGCTTTCTTATCAAGAATTTGGAAAGAAAATATTTCCTTATCTATCACTCCGTCTCCTGTACTGGATATACAATATGGACAAATTCCCTAATGGTCCAACTCAAATCTTGTTCAGTAAAATACCACTTATCTGAAAGTAACCTCCTCTCTTCCCTCAAGATAGTGGAGATAGGCAAGAAATTATCTTTGTGAAGTAATATATAAATATGAATTATTTAAATGGCCTTAAACTTTCCAGCATCTAACTTCATAATAATTAATCTTCAAGGAGAAAGTTTCTCTGGATGGGCATAATATAGAAAAATATTGAAAAAAGCCTGCTTCTTTTGTGCTCTTATTTCTAATGTTCACATCAATTTGCCAGTTAGATTACCTACTCCCTGTATATTTAATCCTTCTTGGTGCATTATACAATAAGTATTTAGGTTAAGATGTCCCTTGAAATATTTATTATAATACAGTTACATTGTAGGCAAGTTTTTAAATGTTATAAAAATTGCCAATAAGGAGAATTATTTGGCATTCTTTCACCAAAAATTTGTCTTGGCTCATCTCTAACACATGAGTTGAGCATGGCAAGAAGAAAGGCATACACACAGCCCCCAACTTAAAGGCATCCATGGCCCCTGTAGAAGATTTACAAAGCCCCAAATTATATTAGATTGTGGTGTGTGTAACAAACAAAAGAGGCATTTAATAGTGCAGTGGTATTATAGCTCAGAGAATGGAATGGCTTCCTCAGGTTTGTTTTCAGGATAAAAGAGTGAAGATTATTCACAGAGAAAGCTTAGAAGAGAAAGTGATGTTTAAAGCTAGGCATTGAAATATAAGTAAAGGTTTAGACAAACAAATGGGGCCACAAAATCCATCAGGCAAAAGGAAAAGTTTACTCAAATGCCTGAAGGTCTGCAGGAGTAGCATCACTTAGAGGAGAATTACATTGTTGAACGCTGGATATGCAGGTAGAGGCTGTAGGGTAAGAATTTGTGCAGGTAAGCATGGCCGAAACTAAGAAAATACTTGCTAAGAATTTGGAACTATATTCGGTGAATAAAGGATGGCCATGAACAGAATTCATGTAGTGGAGAAATCTGATTGGATTTGAGTTTCACAGTAGTTTTTGAAATATAAGGAAAACCAGCTAAAATCCAGGTAGACCTGGTAGAACATGGTAGATTTGAGGAACTCACCAAGACAGAGTCAGGAAGAAAGACAGAGGTTATTTCAGAAGTATTTAGGTGTTAAAAGTCAGTCATATGGAAAGAGAAAGAAAAGTGAGAGGCATTAAATTACTTTTGTATATTTGAAATTTGTCTTAATAAAGTAATATTTAAAATATCAGCAGGGCTTGGAGATTAACTGGATATTTGAGTTGGCTGAAGAGGGAGGAGAAGAAAAGATGACTTGGGGAATTTGGCAAATAATCCATCCACTTACCAGGACAGGAAGAAGCAGAGAAGGAGCTTTCTTCCAGGTTAAGATAGTTCACTTTTGGACATGAAATGATTAAGGTGGCTGAGTTAACTGAGGACATTTCAGATAGGAGTATCAACAATTGCATAGTTAACCATATATCCACACAGTGTCTAATCATGAGAGAGAGGTCAAGATGCCCTTTTTCTATTCCAGAGGATGAGTTAGATTCAAGAACTTGGCCTTTACTGGGCTACAGTGAAAGGGGCAAGCCTGCTGTTGTCCTTTGCACTTATTTCTAGATGGACATTTTCACCCTCCTCTAACTCTTCCTGTTTTGATCTTGGTTTAACCGAGCTTGGCTGTGGGAATTATTGCACTCATGTTTTACCTTCCAGTCCTCCTTATCTTTATTTTTCTTCTTATTTTTTGTTATGCTTGTCTTGAGTTTGCCTTTTCTCACCAACCAAATGATAAAGTTCAGAAGACTGAGGCTAGGATGTGAAGGTAGAGAAAAAGGACAAAGGAAGTCTCTCCAGCTATTTTTGTTTTTAGCACTGATCAGATGGTTCAGCCTAGCCTGCCAGAAAACCACGCAGGGGCTTAAAATCATAAACAGGTGCATATGTCAGAAATATCCTTTCAATATAAGTTTGGGCAGCTTGTTTCTGTGGTCGGTGGTTACTTACTCATTTAGTTATCCTGGGTTTATATCAACAACTAGATCAGAATGATTTACATCCAATAATCTGAAAGAATTATGTGAGAGAAAGCATGTTTTTCAGGTACACTGCTAAAGGCACATTTTATTTTATTTAGTTGTTGCAATAAGACAATGAGTGATATTTTCTCCATTTTACTTAGGAAGAAACTAAAGCTCAGATTGATTAAATAGATCCTAGTGTAGAGAAAGAATCTGGTGGACACAGTTTTTATACTTAAGATTGTCTAACTCCAAAGATTGTTTTTTTTTTTGTTTTTTGCATTGTAGAATGAAGTATACTTTATCATAGAGTGTGCTTTTAAATGAGACATAGTGAGCATCTAATTCTTCAAATTCAAGAGTGATAGATATTGCATGCATGTTAATGCCATGTTTTGGTTGACAAACTATATGATTATATCATCTTCTATGTATAAAAAAGACAATTTTACTGGCTTCATAAGACATAGGTATTCCAGAATCTGAGCAAGATTTTATTGTGTATTCCATTTTTCAATCTACTGACCAAAGATGGTGAAAAATAATTAAAAAAGAAAAAATAATCCCCTCTCTTTTTCTAGCACTTGAGATATTATTGGCTGGGCTCAAATTGATTATAACAACTTGAAAGCCACGGAACTTTAACAGCAGCATCACTCCCGTACACATTTTCCCTCTGGACATGATTGCCAGTATTGCTCTGTAAATCTGAACACTAAAATGACTATAACCATTATGTGATTCCTTGTGAGACAGGCTCTTTATGTCAAAGGTGGGGCAACACAGAAGGCTTGTTTTTTGATGGTTTTTGGTTTTTTTTTCGTTTTTTGTTTTTGTTTTTGCTTTTCTTCTTCTCTATTTCTCCTCAATGCAGCCTGCTGGGTACATTTGTTTTCAATGGGACTGAAAATTCTCTTCTTATACCCAGGACTCTAATGAGCTTAAAAAATAATCATTATTATTAGCCTTTTCGATTATGGTCTTTCTATGGTTTGTACTTTTCTTATGAATACCAAGGTAAATATATAGGTGAGGAGATAAGGGGGAAGGAAAGAAAGGCCAGCAGAAGGGGAAGAAAAAAAGGAGAACTTCAGTGAAACTAGAATGGCTTCAATCAGTCAAGGAAAGTGATGGAGTTACTGTTTCCACACGGGAA